AGGTGTATATCACTGTAATACACTACTTCAACCCTGTCCTGTGAACATCACCAGTTCCGATCGGTGCTACCCCTTGGTGATAGTGGCCACTTCCAGATACTAGCCTGTGTTAGAGCCCTAGAAGTTTTGTTTTGTCAATTTTTCATTAACACATTTCATGCAGTGCTTAAATAATTGATTATTTTGTCTGTCCCCCATCTTGAAGTTTAAGCTGCACAGTTTGAAGCTGCTCATTCTTAACCCAGTGAGTGGGACACCTTGTATAGATGTTCAGTTTGTACACTGGTCAGAAGTCCTACATGTATGAGGGTGGGCCTCATATCACATGTATAACCATTCATTTGAGAGTATATTCAGCATACTTGGAGACTCTTGGCCACTCTCAGAGGACCTGGGCAGCAACAGTCACCTTTGGTAGTATCATACACATTTTCTACAGAATATACATGACCACCTCTTCTGTGACCTGTGCTGAGACCATTCCTGTTTTTCCAGTGCCTGGAAGTTGGTCCAGTTTCTACCATCCATTTGATGTAGACTCTTCCTGCCCCACTCTGTGCTAGGTTATGATAGATGGTATCAGAGTTGGCTATATGTGGTCAGGGCTGTGCCCACCAGCCTTGGAAAATGTCCCAGGGCGAGAGCTGATGCATAGTAGAAATGAAAACATCACCTTTTTTTCTCACAAAGGTGTCACATCAGCTACCATGGGCCCAGCAGGAACTGTAAGAAAGCATTGCTGTGGGAAGCAAGGGCTTGGAGCAAACCACTCACTCCTGCCTCTTGCTACAGCCCCTGAGCTTGTGCCAGTGTGGTCTGAAGGCAACAGCAGCATATGTTAGTTGTGCGAGATTTGCACAGGAGAACGGTACCTAGCAATGAGTGATGGCTGCTGCCATACATGGCCTGGGTGAGTGAGCAAGAACCATGCCCAAAGTGGAGACACAGAAGCCAGAGGCTGCAGAGTCACACAGTAGGAAGTACAAAAGCTGGTCAGACTGATCCTAGGTATCAGAAGTCAAGAAGACAGGTCCCTTGGGTCTGGGCATAGGGTGGTAGTGGCATGCCGTCTGGTGTAGCCGCTTCTTCCGTGCATGTGAGCTCCTTGTGAATGCTGTCAGCCTAGTGATGGGTGTGCCAGGAAGAGACTGCCCAGGGTCCCCACTCCTTTTCTTCCTCCTGGCTTCAGCAGCCTCTGTTTCAGATCCAATTCCAGGGGGAGCTTGGAAGACTTGAGCCCACCAGGGCCTCCTTTGTTGCCCTGTGCCCCGGCCTTGGCTATGGGATGGGCGGGAAATGTGGCTTGTTCTGATTTAACAGAACTTTGTACGGCCCGTTTTCTTCACAGCCCTCGCCCTCGCCTAGATGCCTGAAAGGGCTAGCCTTCTCTGTAGTCTGCTAGAGTCCATTGGTAGTAAAGTCTGGCTGTCACAGACCACACCTTCCCTGAGGAAAGTTCCAGGAGGGACTTGTGCTCTCTGTCCTGCTGACCCTATGGCATGTGTGAATGGGTGGCCCACAGGCTGGTTAAATGCCTGGGACTCCTACTGTAGCTGCCTCTGCCTTTAAGCCCAGAGCTCTGGCTTGGTGTGACCAGGTCCGGAAGACCTTCTCACCATTTGTGGACAGGTGTGCTGCGCTGCCTCTCAGTCAGCCAACAGATTCCTAGCCTCGCTTCTGAACTGAGACCAGGTATGACATTTGCCAAAGGCCCTTCAGAAGAAAATCCTGCTACCTCTGTGGTTTGTCTCCAGGAAAGCCTCAGCCTCACTGTTCTGAGGAGTAGAGGAGGCTGCATTCTTCCCTCCGGCTGGAATTCCGTCCCCTCTCCAGTCAGACTCCTTATCGCTGCTCAGTGTCTCTGACTTTCCCCTGCATCCTCCTTCCATCCTGTGCTGGATTCCTCTCCTCTGGGGCCTCTTTCTCTCCGGTTCCTGCTTCCCTTGCCCTCTGCCTCACTTCACTGAATTGCTGAGGTGAGTTCTCAGTCATTCCGTCAGCGCCTGAAGCTTAATAGGCACTCAGCCCATGCCTCTGATCTAAGCTACGGGAGGGAGGCTGAGGCAGGACTGAGTTCCAGGCCTACCTTGGCTATATAGCAAGGCCTTCTCTCAAAAAAGATATCCCCAGGGGCTGGGGTTAAGAGAACTTGTTGCTCTTTTAGAGGACCATGGTTCCATCCCTAGCACCTCCATGGGTCTCCTAGCCACTCATTAACTCCAATTCCAGGGAGTCTAATGTCTTCGGACTCCAGAAGAACCAGGCATGCATCAGGTGCACACACATACACAGAGGCAAAACATTCATACATAGAAAGTAAACTTTAAAAATCTTAAGAAAAAAAAAAAGACCCCCCACCCACCCCATTTGCAGAGCAGATAGGCTAGGTATAGAGCAGTGAGCAGAGGGTCCGTGTCTGTCATTGGTTGTCAAGATAGGGTGCTGGTAGTTTTAATTGTCAACTTGACACAGCATAGAATCATGTGGGAAATAGTCTTACTGAGGGGTTGCTTGATCAGTTTGGCCTGTGGGTATATCTGTGGGAAACAGTTCTGATTGGATTTAATGAAGCAGAAGACTCACCCACATGGGCCCCAACATTCTGGGGGGTCCTGGGCTGTGTCAATGGAGAGCGAGAGCGAGAGCGAGAGCGAGAGCGAGAGAGAGAGAGAGAGAGAGAGAGAGAGAGAGAGAGAGAGAGAGGAGAGAGAGCAGGATGCATGCATTTATTCTCTCTGCATTTGACACGTTCCCACTGTATGGTGTCCTTTAATGATGGGCTGTAGACTGGAATTGTGAGCCAAGCAGACCCTTTCTCCCCCAAGTGCATTTTGTCCAGGGTTTATCCTAGGTATGTTCTCTCTTAATTTTTCACAGAAAGGCAAGAAAATTAAAGCTTAGACACCCCACTTTTATGTGAATTCTGAGTGGAAAAGCAGTAATTCCTTGCGAGTTTCCAGCCATACGAGTCACTCCCAGGATCCTCTGCACATGCTGTGCAGGCTCTTAGGAACCTTCTGGTTTTGTTGGAATGTGAGCTTATGGTTTTAGAAATCTAGGTCTTTCAAAACAGATGCTCAGACCAGGAAGTCCCTGGAAATGAGTGTGCTCGCAATATGCCTCGTTTTACATCAATTAAGCAGAGTTCTAGACTTCTAGGCCTTAGCCAACCTGGGCCCAGGGGCTCACCTGTCCAGGTCTCATAGCCCACTCTATCTTGCCTTCCATAAGCATTTCAGTGACTCAGGGTAAGAAACCATGCATTAAAATAGAGATTTCACATTGAGAATTTAATCTGGTTCTTTTTAATGATTTCTCCTCAGTTGTACCAAGAAAGTGAACAGTTAGAACAGTAAAGACCACTGTCCCCATACAGAGCAGCCACTTTAATGTCATATCTAGTATTTCCTGCTCTATGTAGTTATGTAACAATGTAACAGCATGTAAGTTAATTCATATAAACTTCTGACAGTGTCTAGCCTGTGGTAAGTACTGGACAATATTAGTTACTCTTATTTTTACCCCCACATAAAGATGTCTGTAAAACAGGATCTTGTTTGTGGTCATGGGGTTACTGGAGCTGAAAGTCCTGATTCTTTGTCTATCTGTAGAGGGTGTTCTTTTAGGAGTCAATTTTCTTTGTTTATTGAAACTCAAAAGTCTATCCCTTGAAGTCAATTTAGTGAGCTCTGTAGAGTGAGAGGGAGTTGGTGGGGGATGGCAACGACAGAATGGGTAAGGGGGCAGTGGGCTTCGGTACGATCTGGGGTGCCAGCCTGCCTTCACTACCACAGCCACGTCTGCAGGTGAAGACAGTTTGTGAGTGAGTGGTGGCACGGAGAAGAGGGCCGCGGCCTTGCTGTGGGGAGGATTGGTGCTTCTTGTTTGTGATTGGGTGGCCTCTTGATAAATGCAGCGTGAGGTGGACACATTGTAAGTGGGGAAATACATTCAGTCCACAAAACCTGCAGCTCACAGCCCAGCATGCTGCAGAGTATCATGCTCCTCCCTTGTGATCCTGGGGCAGCTGGTAGCTGTGGCCTCTGGCTGGCATCGAGAGGATCAGACCACGTGTTGTTAGCCCAGGGAAAAGTCCCAAGTGCACATCCTGAGGCTAGTGTCTCCCAGGTGCCCGTTTCTTCCTTATTATCAGAGTTGAACACTCCTAAGCACGACTTTGCTAAGTGGAACACTCTGGCATGCTTTCTCCCTCTTCCTTTTTAAAGATGTATTTATTTCATGTGTATGGGTATTTTGCCTGCATGTATGTATGTGCACCAACCACATTTGTGGATGTTACTTGAAGAGGGCATCAGATCTCCTGAACTGGAATTACAATGGTTGTGGCCTACCCTGCGGGTGGTGGACATTGAACCCTGGTCCTCTGGAAGAGCAACACTTAACCCAGGGCCCTGTGCATGCTAAGCACATGCTTCCCTCCTGAGCTCTCCAGCCCCTTACATTCATTCCCAAGGTATCGTATGCCACCACCTTCAACTGCAATAAACGACACCTTCAATAGGACCATCTGTTTTTTCAGAAAGTTGGGGAGGGCTTCATCAGGATATTTTTCAAAAGATGTGAAGGATCACAGCCTCAGGTGGGTGAAGATGTTGGGTAAAGCCACGTGGAGAGTGGTGTGGATCAGGAATTGATTGATATTAGAGACAAGCCAGAAATCTGCCTAGTATGTTTAACCCCAAATCCTCAAGCTGTGTTTTTAGATTATATGACAGTGAGCTGGCAATTGCTAAGACTGTAGTGTGTGCCCGTGTGGTGTTTTGGGGGGTACACTCAGCTGTGGGCTTCCTGTTAGGGGAACCTCCTTGGGACAGCTCCTGAGGCAGGTAGTAATGACACTTTTGGGAGGCAATGTGCTTCTTCTTTACTGTCTAGGTAGACTATTTCCAAAGTCACCATGCATTTCTGGAAAGTAGCTTTAACATTATGTGTGAAATCCACAAATGAATATTTTTGTCCCTCTTTTTTTTTTTTTTCAGAGAGTGATGGTCTTCAAAATGAAATCTCTGGAAAATTTTAGATTCTCTTTAGGAACTACAGAAATTGAAGGACAGAAAACGTTTGAAAGAAGTTGTTCTGAAAGCATGTTTACAATGAACTGACACTATTGACTGTTCTTTTTTAAATATAAGACACTTGGAGAAGATTGTATTTATGGTAAAAGGAAACTGGACTAACGATGAGGCCAAAGACTTTCCCTGCCACAACTTACTCTGGAAATAGCCGGCAGCGCCTGCAGGAGATCCGGGAGGGGCTGAAGCAACCATCCAAGCCTTCCACCCCGGGGCTGCCTGGGGGACCAAACAGTGACCCTCCCCTGGATGCCAAAGGCCTGGGGGGCAAGGATGCCTCCAGGCAGCAGCAGATGAGAGCCACCCCGAAGTTTGGACCTTATCAAAAAGCGCTCAGGGAAATCCGATATTCCCTACTGCCCTTTGCCAATGAATTGGGCACTTCAGCCACTGCGGAAGTAAACCGGCAGATGCTTCAGGAGTTGGTGAACGCGGGATGCGACCAGGTGGGTCCGGGCGCCAGCACCCTTCAGCAGCTCTGTGGAAACTTTGAACTGTTTAACACACAGTCCTTTTCTGTGTCCTGAGCCGAGGGCCACCTTCTCTCCAAGGGTCTTAGCCACTTTTCCTTCTTGAGATTGTTTCTTGTTGTGACTCTTTCATTCTGTCCTGGGTTTGTGTGTACATGCGTGGAGCCCAGGGCCCTGTGCATGCTAAGCATAAGCTTCCTTATTGAGCATGCCATCTTCCAGTTCTGTTCTTTGCCCTTTCCTTGGGACCTGCTTGGGATTATTCATTCTGAGCTTCTATGGGGAAGAGACTGACTTCTCTTACTTTGTTTTTGGTTTGAACATTTATTTTCTTCCTGTAGGAGTGCTATTTAACATGTATTAACTACTCTGTTTTTTATTGTTTTTGTTTTCTTAAAATTGTATCCTTTGACAGTTTTATACCTGTACTTACTCTGATTTCTTTCTTTCATTCATTCATTCACTGATTGTTTCGAGACAGTCTCACGTAGCTCATGCAGCTCTGCTGGCCCTGGCCCTCCTGCCTGCACCTCCCTAGTACTGGGACTGTAGGAGTGTGCCACCATAGTAAGCTGTCTCCTCCTACTTTAAAAAATAGTGTCCACACTGTTGCAGAAGATACGCCATGCTGAGAAAGTCAGAAGCCTTGGCAGGCAGTGTGGGAATCATCAGAATGTGGCTACGTACTCTGCCCTCTCAGTCGCTCGGCATCAGTCTCCGTTGATGGAGCAGAGAGCATCTGTTACACGACAGCATGCAACTCAGAACTGCGTGTGTGGGGTCTCTGCGAAGTGTACGTGTCCAACTGAAATCCAAGTTGAGGGGCAGGACCATAGAAAAGGAGCTAGTGTCCAACCAAGTGTAAAGGCGATTAGCAAACATGTAATTGTGTTAGGGAATGACTTGTGAAAGCCAGTAATTTATTTCCATGTACCATTGTAAAAGTCACAGTTGTAGGTCCAGGCAGATCTCTGTGAGTTCAAGACCAGCCTGGTCTACAGAGCGAGATCCAGGACAGGCACCGAAATTACACAGAGAAACCCTATCTCAAAAAAAAAAAAAAAAAAGTCACAGTTGTGTAAACTAGAAATAAGTGAAATCTCTTTGTAAGACTTGCTCAAAGAACATCAGGTTGGCTTAAATGCTTTTAGTTTCTTGGAAATAATTTAATGACTGGATCACAGTCCTAGCACAGGCTAACCATGTCACCCTTTACTTCCAAAGGGACCGTCAGTCCTCTTGTAGTTTACTGCTGCAGATCCTAGAGAACTGACTACGGAGGTGATGTGTTTGTGAAACATCCCACTTTTTTTTTTTTTTTGGTTTTTCGAGACAGGGTTTCTCTGTGTAGCTTTGCGCCTTTCCTGGAACTCACTTGGTAGCCCAGGCTGGCCTCGAACTCACAGAGATCCGCCTGGCTCTGCCTCCCGAGTGCTGGGATTAAAGGCGTGCGCCACCAACGCCCGGCAACATCCCACTTTTTTTAATGTCCTCTCTGACACTTGGGGATGTGCCAGAGTTACCTTGGCTCCAGCGGGCACCATTCAGTGGAGTCATTTTGCACAGCACAGCTCCTTGAGTAATCTGTGGCCTGCTGTAGCAGTGGAGGCCGACAGCAGCTGCGTGACCTGTCTTACTGTGAGAGTGTGCAGTTAAATCTGCTGCCGGGCGCTGTTCCTAACAACGCGGTAGTGTAAGGGTCGGGGTGGAGCAGCTCTGAGGAGTGAGGTTGAAGAGGGAGCTTTCAGCCAACAGCAAGTCTTAGGATCTTCTTATAATGAAAATCACTCGCAAACAAAAGAGGCAATCACAGCCTGGTGTTTTCGGAGTTGTACTTCAAATGCAAGAGAAAGAAACAAGTCAAACAAATAATCCAAAGTACAGGTGGGATCTTGATAAAGTAAAATCCATTAGTGTTAATTGCAGAGCAAGCAATGCCCTGGCTGCTTCTCTAATACAGTGAAATACAAATACAGGGAAGCTAAGGCTCATGATGCCTGCAAAGGGCCCATCCACATCTAATTTATGTTAATTGCTAGCAGAAAGGCCTCCCATTTACCATATTTAATGCTCCCGAAATAATTCAGTCAGTTTGCTGTCTAGTGTTACTTTAAAACTTAAACCAGCTGCGCCTCCCCGCTTACCCTCCAACTCAGACCAAAGTGAGCGCATTTGTTCTCAGAGGACTCTGGGAGGAAAGTCATTGTGTGAACACAAACAGCAAGAGGGAGATTGACAGTGCTCTGGAGCTGCTGTGGGTGGATTGCCGCTGCTTCTTCCCTTGTCCCTGTCACAGTAGGTGCACTGTTTAGATGCAACTTTGTTCTTCCCTAATTTGACTTAAAGCGCCATCTTTGTTTTCTGAGGTCCATGTTTCCCCACAGGGCCTAGTGGTGGTGGCCCATGCTTTACACGTGTGCGCGCGCGCGCGCGCGCACACACACACACACACACACACATGCACACGTACTATCTCTTTTAGAGCCAGGTTCTTGCTATATGTCCAAGCTGGCCTTGAACTCCTGAGCCCCAGAGAACCTCCTGTTGGCTCTGTTACACTTAACTCCACAAGTAATATCTTATTGCCTGTGCACACAAGCATGTATTTTCTATGTTATTTATACTATGACTAGTTGAAAATATTTACTTGACTGCTTGAAATGGGCATTTTCTTTTAAATATTATATTAAAGTAGATATACATCTTAAACATGCACAGTTTATAAACTTACAGCCCCATGGATTTTCATACATTAATTACACCCATCTAGCATGTATGTGTACTTTTGTAATCAAAACTTTTAAAATGGAAGTGTCAGGAAAAAGTGAAAGACGTTAGGGTATTTTCAATGTAACAATGTAATGTGTTTGCCAGATGATATACTGTGTACATAATATGTGTAACTTTTTAAATAAATGACATGAAGCCTTATGAGATGCGTAGGTAACTAGGTTAATGTTCTAGGAGGTGTTAGCTGTTCTTCAGCTAGAGATTCAGGCCTTGGAAGGTGAGGTTCTGATTATATTATCACACTCTGCAGCTTTGTATATCTCTGTCCCACAGCTGTGTGGGACTTATATATTATCTCCCTAAGCTGTAGTGGGTGATAGACAGGTGGAGCACCCACTTGGGAGTGCAGGGTGTTGCAGGATTGACATGTGGAGCACCTTTGTGGTGAGGAGGGTTGCAGAGTTGTTGAGTGATAGGCAGAACATGTCCTTGGGGTACAGAGGTGTTGCCGGGTGACAGGCGGAGTGTCCATGTGGTGCAGATGTAGGTGTTGCCGGGTGACAGGCGGAGTGTCCATGTGGTGCAGATGTAGGTGTTGCCGGGTGACAGGCGGAGTGTCCATGTGGTGCAGATGTAGGTGTTGCCGGGTGACAGGCGGAGCGTCCATACGGTGCAGATGTAGGTGTTGCCAGGTGACAGGCAGAGGACCTGCATGGGGGTACAGAGTGTTGCTAGGGGCATTGCTAAGGTGCTGGGGTGTTGCTGGGTTGGTAGACAGCTTCTGCATCCAGCCATGGAGGGGTATTATTTGGCTTCCTTTTCTCAGGGAGCCTGAGGTGTTTTGGAGCCTGAGGTCTTGAGGGATGTGGATCCGAGTGCAGGCTCCTGGCTGTCTAGAATAGCACCTTCCCTGGGTTGTGTCCCCTAGGGGAAGACTTAGATGAGAAATTTCTTTCAGATGCCAGTAGAAGGAAATGGTTTTGCCTCCCTTGAGGACTGATGTTTTTCCCCTGGACTCCGTGTCTGTAACCAGCCTATAGTCTGTGGCTCCATGTCCTTAACAGTTTCTTGGTCCTGGATTTCTGTGTCAGCCGTTATTTTCCTAGCCTACCCCACATGTGCTCTAGTAATTCAGATCTGTAATGGAACCAGGGCAGAGAGAATGTAAACAGACTGACTGTCTTTACGGTGGGCCAGGAGTACAGGCTGTGGTCAGGATGTGCCTTCTCACAGCGGCTTCCTGACAACAGGCCCAGCGAGAGGTGAGCGGGGTGCTGTGGGAAATAAGCAAAGGAAGTCAGTTCGTGACATTGTGAAGCCATCAAGGGAAGAACGTGAAATTTGCCCAGCAGTCACACAAGTCATTGGCAGCGCCCAACGGGGCAGCGCCTGTGTACCAGGAGCTCACCTAGGGGCGGAGTGTGCTGTTTGCAGCAGCTCCTCTGAGCTCCTCATCTGTTAGAGCTGTACGGCAGCCTTGTGAGGCGGGTTGTAGTCCCTGTTGTAAGCTGCAGTGAGTTGAGGGGAGTCAGAGAGACCCCTGCCTGCAGAGTACTTGCCAGTGCAGGTCTGGAATGCTTGATTTCCTTGGTGGTGGCTGCGGGTTCGGGCTTCAACCCAGTGTCTGTCACTGGGCTCAGTGCTAGGTGGCTGCTGGCTTTTCAGACTGTTTTCCACGTGGGGTGACTTTCCCTCTGGCCCCCTCCTACCCCCTGAGGGTGTGGGTTGTCGTCGCCTCCTCTTCTGGCATTGGCTGGTCGGGCTCACAGTCCTTGCAAGCGCTCGCGTCCACAGTGCGCTGGCTGCAGCTGGGACGCTCGGCACACTCCCAGCTGCCCATTCTCCTGGAACAGACTCCCTGTCTGTTTATCTGGGGGCCTTCAAGGTGACATCTTGTAGCCTCCCACCTTCCTAGAGGGATCCTAGTGTCCGCCAGGCTTGTTTTGTTTTAGCAGCAGGCTTTCCCAAAGCCTGCGTGTGGATTTGAGCTGTCCTGTTTAGCCCTCCATAGCACTTTGTTTCCAGCTTTTAGGGCCTTGATTCCTGAGGCCTGTGTTGGCAGGCTCTGAGTCCTGTTGTGTCACTTCCCCTCTGAGGCCTGGGCTCCGAAGAGCTCCCACAGGCCAGCTGCTGGTTAATATTTGCCAAAGCAGATGTGATTCATATACTGGTCCAGGCAAAAGCCTCCGCCACCTCTCCCCACACCAGATAAGAAATAGTCGATAATCCACAAAGCAGATCTTCCT